TCAGGAGCCGTTCTGTGGGGAAAGGAAGGGGCTCAGTGCTGGGTGAAGGAGGCTCCTTCACCACAGGACTTGCCCCTGGCAGAAGCACCGTTCCCGGTCACCCCCTGGGCCCTCTCCCCCCTGCCAAGCTGCAACTCCATAAGCTGAGCGACAACTTCTTGCAGAAGCAAGCGGGCAGTTAACAGCTGGTAATGGGGAAAAGAGCATGACATGGCAGCTCCATGCTGCATGTCAGAGTGTCACACTGCAGTAACAGATACAGCAGCACGCATTAGTGCGGCTCTGCTGTTTCACACCCCCCAAAGCGCCTGGTCCTGGGCTCAGCAGGTGCCCTGCAGTTCTGGGGCAGGCGTGGAGCTCACCCTGCTCTCAGGAGCCGCTGTCAGAGCAGGATGGACATAGTAGCTGCCTGGGGAGGCAACACTTAACACATAAAGGAGCAAGGTGCCCTTGCCAGGAGAAAGGTGCCGATTGTCCCTGTGCTGGGGGAAGGTCCCTTCTGCCTCCCAGGCTGCAGCTCACACAGCCGCAGAGATGAAGACAGCCCGTAACCCCAAGCAGTCATTCGAGTACTCATTGACAAACAGAATTGAGCTCATGCATCTCATTTCTGACCTCTGAGTCTCCCAGAGCTTTCTCCTTGCCTGACACTCTGCCTGAGAACTGGGACCGATGGCAACCTGGGACAAGGCAGCCTGGGCAGCAGAGTCCACAGCACCCTCCAGTACTCACCATCGAAGCCAATGGCCACGAAGCGTGCTGCAGGAGACAGGCTGAGCGATGTGGCAAAGTACGGCAAGGAGATCTTCTCAACTACCTGCGCTCCAGCAAGAGAAACACACCAACAACATGAGAAGGTGGGAGACCAGGGCTGCTGCAGTGGCAGTCGGTAGGAGGGTAAAGGGCTCCTCTCAAAAGGGAGCCTGACAGCTGCATAGCACCTCCCTGAGCTCAGAAACCTGCCAAAGGCATCGACTCTCCAGAGGAAACTTGACTCAAGGATTAAGAGACCGTTAGTGGTCCTAAAGCAAGCGCCTTCCCCTCCCATCAGTCGGATGGGAAGGCAGCAGGGCGGCAGCAGGGAGTGGCAGCCTGCCCAGATGCAGCCCGAGGCAGGGGCAGGGCCCTGCCGCTCGCCTGGAGTTTCTCAGATGAAAAGCTCATTGCCCTGAGCAGCCGCTTGCCCAAACCTACCCCAGGCCTTCAGCCTTGGCTTTACACACAGGCCAGCACTGCCTCCTCCCACCACACCTCACTCGACATGGCCGTGGCCCCACAGCGGCAGAGGAGTGCCTGTGCCACCCCAGTAGGGCACGAGTACTCATGGTACCTGTTTCTTACGCAGATTATAAAATAAAGCTTCCTTCTGCATCCCAAAGCCAACGTAGACCAGGGTACCAGGTTCCCAAGGGCAGAACGCGGCCAGGCTGGGTGGGAGGCTGCCGAGATCCTGGTGAGGGAAACCAAAGGGAACAAAATTGAGAGCACAGAGGGACACCAGCCCATGGGCTGCAGGTGTCTGAGCAGCGGGAGATGAGCATGATGGAGGCTGTTTCCTCCCTCTTGCCATCTCCGATGTGCTCATGGCAAAGCAAGGAGTAACCACGCACTGCCATGGAAACCTGAAGTAAATTGTTTACTGTCATAGGAGCGGGACATATGAGGGTCCAACAGGTTGAATTTCCGCTAAGGCATTATTGCTATGTGGGCTTGAAGGTGGGATTGGGTTATGGATTGGTTTAACACAGGAAAATAGAGTCCAGAAAAATAGATATTTAGTAGTGGATGCAAGATCAGCTCTTCCCATGTTCACTGTGGGGAGAGCTGTTGTGAGTTTCCTTCACAGAGAGGAAATCCATCGTTGTGGAAACAAACTGAAGAACCGCTGACAGAACCCAACTACGCTCGGTCCTGAGAGTGGCAGGCTGAAGAACCACCACTTGCTCCCCAAAAAGACCCAGCTCCCTCCTACGCCAATGTTCCATGCTCTGGGGACCAGCTCCACGTCCTGCCCAATACAGACCCCCCCCCCCTTTCCAGCAGGCGTCCTGCTCCCCAAATCTCACACCTGGGAGGGAGCCCAAGCGTTCTGCAAAGCATCACAGACACACAGGGCTAGAGTACCTGGCTCTATGAACCCATCACCGGGCTCCTGGCTCTGAATATTCATGCTCTTTGGGAATGTCAAAGTTAGCAGCACGCTGATAATTAGGTCTCTCTCCTGCACACTGCGCTCGCTGCTGCCTGTGCTCTGTTTTGCGTAGCACAGGGGCGTCAGCTCTTCGCAGATGCAGTTTTGTGACTCCTCACGCTTACAAAGTCACCGCTACAATCCCCGCTGCCTTTCGACACGCAAGAAGGTGCATTAACAAGATACTCTGCGAGCAGCAGAACTAATGAAGATGACTTTCCTAAGCACACGCTCTTTTTTAGCCCCGTCCCGCTCAGAGCCTTGATGCATCCCTCCTCCAGCATCAGCTGCTGCCGAGACCCATGGCAGGGGCAGGCAGGGGCAGGCCGGGGAAAGGCAGGGACAGGCACACTCCCCTCGGGGCCGGCAGGAGCCGGGAAGCTGAGCCAGTCGAGGAGCTCGCACTTATCCTTCAGCCAGTCGGAGGCCCAGACGCTGACCCGCCGGTCTGAGCTGGTGGCCAGCCAGAGCTCGCCTCCTTCCACCCCAAAGTCACGGTACTACAGGAGAGAAAAGCGATGCTGTGATTTCAGTAGTGCAGAAGCTTTAAAGAAAGCTGCCACTAGAGCTAGCGTGGGGCAGGAGCTCGTGGGAACACAGGCCTTGTGCCGTAAGGGGATCAACACCGGGATTAACGTCCATTGGGGCAGTGCTTAAAGTCACTTAGAATAAAATAGGACAAGGAAGTCGTGGTGCTGGAACCGGTGTCATGCTCTGGGCTGAGAGCCCCGGCAGAAGAACCTGCTGGAGGAGGGGTTGAACGACACGGATCTCTTCCCCAGGAGGGATCTGCACATCTCCTAGCAGACTGTGTGTCCCCTAACAACATCCTTCACCTAAAACCAAGGAGGATCTCCTAAGTCTATTGCTACCAGGGAACACAGCCTTGCAGTATGGGTGATTTTAAAGCCTGAGAACTTAGGCAAAATTATTGTCATTTCTGCTGTGCACAGGAAAAAGACTCTCAGTGAAGAGAAGGACAGAGGAGATGCTAAAACCATCACACTGCTGCACAGCCAAGTCTTCCTAGCTCCATGGAGGAACCGTACAAAGAGCCAGCTACACACAGGAGGCCGGGCTGCCAGGAGCAAAGCGGGGAAAACACGCTGAGCCCTTTCTCGGGGGCAGAGAGGCTGAAAGCTCACAGCCCGGGCTGCTCTCCCAGAGCTTGTGGTGCAGACACGCATCACATCTGCGTGCAGTGTGTCTACAACAGTCACCAAAGGTCCCCTCCGCCCGCAGGCATGGCCTCACTCGGGATTGCACCTGCAACGTGTGTGGCTTTACCCCACTGGATATATCCCTAGAAAAAACCTGAGCAGAAGTTACTGGAGGGGAAGGGTGGCCCAAAGAGGAAAAGCGAGGGAAAAACAAAGCAAACTCGTTGACCAACCCGGCCACACTGCTGCTGCTTCCCACAGCCGTGCAGCGACTCCCAGGGAACTCGCTCCCGCACAGCGCCGGGGCAGAGGGTGAGGGCTCACCTGCTTCCTGGTGCACTGGAGGACAGTGATGGGGGAGCCTTTGTGGTCAGCAAGGACACGGATGGTCATCCCGGTGCGAGGGCTGCTCACAGCCACGAGCCCGTCCTTGCCCCCCGATAGGATCATTTCTCCTGCGGGCAGAGGAAAGAAGAGAACGGGACACTTCTTGTAGGAGAAGAAAAAGCCCACAGGAGAAAGGTCCAAGATCGTGGGATCCTGGTATCCCAAAACACCGTGAAAGGTTGGGAACATCTGAGTCAAGGGCAGGGTAAGACGAGACATCTTGGAGACACCCACTAAAACGCCACACTGAAGAAGAGCCACTGCAGATAGTAAGCAGAAGGACACAAAGGAATGCTTCTTGTACCCAGACCCCTTCACTATACCCTTGCCGATATACCTCCCATGCCCCGTTTACCACATGCTCAGCTGGCAGAGCTACCAGAAGCCACTGACAGAACCTCTGCAGCTCTCCCTGGCCCCAGGTTTTTGGGCAGATCACCAGTACGCAGAGCGGCTGGAGGTCATGGTAACCCGGCACAACCAAGCCACGCTCCGCGAGGCAACATCTCCCCACTGCTCTAACAGGCAGCCTCACCGTCTGTGGAGTAGGCAATTGCTGTCAGTGCCACGGCATGGGGGTGCATTTTCAGCTCCATCTCTGTCCTGGAAACGCTGAATACGCGCATGGTGCCATCACTGTACCCTGCCACTACGTGCTGGCTCTCGGCTCCCCACGCAACGACAGGACGAGGTTTCCAGGCCAGGCACTGGCAGCTCTGCGAAGGAACCAGGGCAGAGACCCGATGACACAGTGAAGACAGCAGGACTGTGCAATCAAGTGTACTAAAAGCTCCTCCTGCAAGTATTTCTCCAGCTTTACTCTGCTCCGTGAGGACACAGCAGTCCTTGCAATCCCAAGCAGCGCACTGTGCCCTCTGCCAAGAGGAAAACGTTGATGTACCACCACCAATTACCTGGTTGAGCACCTGGAACTGTACCACCAGCTCCATGCTGCCCAGAGACCAAATCCTCACGCTGCCGTCTTCCCCGCACGTTACGCAGTGAGTCTCGTCAGGACTGAAGCACACTTCGGTCACCTGCAGGGAGAACGGAGATGAGGAGCAGGGGCTCTACAAATGCTGCAGCCTAGAGGACATCAGCTCGTCTGCGCTCTCATCCGAGACACCAGACAAGAAGCACCAGACATAAAAGAAAAGTCATTCTTCACCTGTTTGGGGTTTTTAATGTTTTAGGCAAAGAAAACGTTATCCAATATGGATGTCCAGCTAGCAAGGAGAAGGCAGGCAGAAGTCGCAGCACTCGGGAACGACACCCGAGTTATTGCAAACCGCATTCTTCTGCTCCAGTGGAAAGGCCCACAGCTGCTGCCAGGCTGAGGCTGTTAAACACCTAAAGCTAGAGCAGACGAGCTCAGACTTCTCGCTGCTGGACTCCTCAGTGCGCGCATTTCTCTCTAGACTCCTCCGTGTCATCCATCCAGCAGTAGCGAGCCCTGCAGCTCCCTGACCTCTCCCACAGCCAGACCGGGGAAACGCTTCTGCAACCCGCGCACGCTTCCCGGTGCACGGACAGCACCCGCAGCACTCGCTGCTCTGAGGGACAAACCGCCCCAGCCCAGCCCCTCTAACCTTGTTCTTGTGACCGCTGATTAGTCGGATGCTTGTGCTCTCCGTCCAGTTGATGTACCAGAGGGTTCCTGCCGTGGTGCCCACAATTCCCATGTCCAGAGAGTCATCAAAGGCCACACTGACTATTGTCCCGTCGAGGGTGATCTCGTGTTCCAGCAGGACCGAGCTGGAGCTGGAGGGAAGGAGGATGCGAGGAGGACTGGATCAAATGTCACAACAGCCACTCCGCCTCCTTTAAATGTGATTTTTCTAGTGAGCCCAGTCACATGGTTGCTCCCGTACACTGAACAGTGACTACCGTTGCATTGGAGTGCCACCATCTTTTATAGGAAAGAGAGAAAACAGGGGACGCAATAGCACAAAAGAAGCAACAAAACCAACATATTAATGTATTTCACTAATTCTCTTAAGGGAGTTCCTACAAATCACTGACACAAACTTCAGGCGTGACAAACTCATGGCATCAGCTACCTGTGGCAAAAATTCAGTAAAAAGATCCAGACAGAAAGAATCAGCAGTCACGGGGTGGAGAGGAAAAGCTAAGGATGAGGAGCAACAGGAGCGGCGGAGTTGCAGGCAGAGCCAATGTCTGTCTGTGAAGAGCCACCTCTCGGACAGGTCCTGGGAGCTGCCAGATGAGGGGAAGAACATTTCAAGAGCACGGTGAGACAGGCACGAGCAGAGCGGGGACACTGGGGCCACAACCTCCTACCTGGCATTGGGACCTTTGAGCCTCAGCTCCTGCACGGCAGCCACTGCCCACAGGCGGACGCG